TGTACAGCTTCACCAGCAATTCGAGCTGGTAACCTGAACCAGGCACTGAAGACAAACAGTATCTTCATTGTCCAAACCCACATACATCTGGCTAGTGATGAATGACAGAGCTACCGATAACAAGGAGGCATTTCATCCCAAGATGTTAGAAACAGAGACCCAATTATAGCGGCTAGGGGCAATTTTCTTTAGTCTTACCTGTACAGTCTGAGTCTCAGGCCTGCTCAGTACAGATATGGAAACCGGCCTTGCCAGAGCCCTGGAACAGCAGCGGAACTGAAGTGAAAGAAAGACATTTGACCCATAATGGGACACCTCCACATTCCTTAGAGTTGAAGGCAGTTTACAGTCATCTATCGAGGTCTTTGAACAGCTTTTGTCAGGAACAAGAAATTAAGAGTCACCCTCAACTCCACTGAAAATTTGAAAGCAAATGTCTCAGGGACTCAAGCTAGTTGACTAACAATAACCTATTATCTAAGGACAAGACACAATTGAAGTATAATTAGTGCCACTATAGTTGAGTTTTGAGCCAGTGTTGTACACTTTGAGGGATTTATAACTAGGAAGGAATCCTATCAAGAGTGGAGGTGACAGTACCCTTAGCCACAATAGGTTAGTATATCTTCTCAGCCTCTGGATTTGCATAATACAACCCTATTGAGACTGAAGATATCCACCCTCCCTTCACCAACACCACAGATGACCTTGATTCCCCCAGTCAAGGAGTCTGGACTGAAAGTTATCCACCATAACACATCCCAAGTAGAAGGATGTCTGGGACAGCATTTTGAATACAGCTCTAAACAGAAATGCCTTCATTCTCCATGGTAGCTGCATCCCCACCTCCTGGCATTACTCCTTCGCAAACAAACAGCTGCTTACCAGAGCTGGAGAAGCAAGGAGAGCCACTGGAGTCTGCATTTTGACTGATCTAGTGAGAAGAAGGCAAAAGCACATTGAAAAGGAACAACACATACCCAAACCCATGTTACTCTTTACAGTAGAATGCTCATCAGATCAACATACGCTCCCCAGGAGAACTATATAAAAAAATTTAGCTGCTGTGCCTTATCCTTGTCCTGCTTCCTTCCCCTGAGTCTCCCTTCAATTACAACTCAGTCTCTCTCTGTCAAAGTTTGTTGTAGTTTTACTTGGGATCCTTCAGACACAAACTCACAAAAGGGTTTTGCCGATTTTAAATCCTAAACTAAACTAAAAGAAAAGGCTGGCTTTAAATGGATGCCGACAGAAGGGTTAAGTCAGTCCCTCAGAACCAAGAGAGAACCACACGGATGAAGTAGCATGAGTGAGACAGTGACCTCCAATTGTGGAACGTCAACATGAGGGCCAAGATGGGAAGAATAAACTAAGGGATTGCCTAGATTAGAATAAAGTTTTAAAGCTAGCATATTTAAAAGCTCTAGTGGGCACAGGACAAGTTGTTAGCACAGGACAAGTTGTTAGCAGGTAGAGGTGAATTCTGGTGGGGTGGAGCCTAAAGTTGCACCTTTACCAGAGAACAAGTTACAGTACAGCTTTCCCTGTCAATGCCAGTTTTAAAAGACACCGTTATTATTAGTCACTACATTTTAAAAATACACCTATTGTCATAATCAGGACACACATTAATAAGGGGGAGGGTGCAGCAAATCAGTAAAGGGCCCCTCCCCCCCCACCGCCCCCCTTCCTGCCTCCCCCCTCAAGGGCCCAAGCCATGAAGGTCAGGGGAGAAGGCGGCCGGCCTAGCGAGCCAAGCTCGGGCTGCAGCCGGGGCAGAGGCCCAGCAGCAGCCAGCTCGGGCGCCTCACCTGCGGACGGTGACCCCCACTCGAGCTCCGGCGCTGCAGCCCTTCGAGAGAGGAGAGCAAGCCCCGCCCCGCCGCTCACCTTGCCGTGTACCTCAGCGTCCTCCACTCCCATTGGCCGCTGCGACGCAACGTGCGCTGCCCTGTTGCCTCATGGGGACAGAACGTGCTCTCCTTATTGGCTCTCCTGGATGAGTCTCCGCCTACCAAAATCCGGGACCTTCGGCCTGCGTGAAACGGAGACGACGTAGTTACATCCCCAGGTTCTGATTGGCTCCTTTAGGGCGTCTCTGGCTTCTGATTGGTTGGCTGCCTGAGGGCCTGCCAAAGGACCGTAGAGTTGGCCAAGGGGAAGGCTAGAGAGTCCCTGTTACTTTGACTCTTTCCCCCTTCAGAGCTGGAGACTATTGTAACATGGGATCTGAAGCGAACTTGGCAGTCACGTGATGAGGCTGTACCTGCCGGGTTGGCGGGTTCGAATCCAGCCCCGGACAGCTCCTTGGGGGCCCCAAACCTACCTCATGCATAGGGGATCCCAAGGAGTTGTCTGGGGCTGGATTGGAACCCAACCCCACAGCCACTATCCTGGGCTGGATTTGAATCTGGGATCCTCATCTGCCATTTTGGGCTGGATTGGAACCCTAAATCCCCTGGCCCCTCAAGCTATCTTGGGCTGGATTCAAGCCACAGGCTCATGAGCAGTGGTATATAGGAACAGTTTTCCTTGCACAACTCTCAGCCTGGTTTTGAACTTGAGGTTATGGGTTCAAGCTCAATGAGTTTGAACCCTTCACTATTTTAGGTTTAAAGGTGATCTGTCTTTTTATGCTTCTTCATGATGCAAAACAAAGGCTGGAAATGTTTATAATTATTTTATTTTCTACTTTTTCCCCTTAGTAACGTTAGGCTTCCCTTTGTCAGAGGTCTCTGTGGATATATCTTAGAGAATTTTTTCACTTCAAGGTCCCAGAAACACAGACAAGGTTTTCATCTCAAGGCCAAAAGACCAAAAACATCAAGACACTTGATCACGGCCTTGGATAGACCAAGAGACTACTGACACTTGACCAGAGCTCAGAGAGATATATCTACACTGCAGTGTAAGCCCATGGTTAATAGAACTCAAATGAGCAGACCCTGGGTTCGTTAACCTACGGCTTGAGCATCTACACTTGTTTGTACCATCAGGTTAGCAATTGTTAAACCCTGGATCCTAACCTGGGGCTCCAGTCCAGTATCTACACAGCATTATGCGGGACCAAGACCAATCACTGATATCCAAGACTTTCTAGCACCCTCCCAAAATGTGTCCACTCTAGACCTTGGTTTGTGGTAGTGTGGTAAAACTTGACTGTCCAAATAACAAAGAAATTCAGCCCATAGAATTGTTAGATACTTTTGGCGGACTCCCAGAGCACGAGTCCAATGGGACTGTGTCTACATTGCAAAGTAATAGGGCTATCCTGGGTCGCATCATGACTCAGGGTCAGACCTTCCACCCCGTCCAGGAAACCTAGGTCCAAGCCCTGGGTTAGGACAATTTGTAGACAACAGGAGGGTTAGGTTTGAGCCTGAGTTCAACCCATTGGTTTCCACTGCAGCATAAATATACCCTGTGGGTCACTTGGAAATGTAGGCTTGGGGCTTTCTCAACCTTTAGTTAAAGGATGTATATATGTGATCAGGCCTCAACAAAGAGGGTTTTTCTCCTGTGTGTTTGAGTTAAACAGGTGCTAACAAAATCAAATAAAAATTGAGAGGTTTTAAACACCAAATAATAATAAAATTATTCCCCTCTCACTTAGTTGGGTTTATTTTCCATGTTATCTGTGATGTGACTATTAATACTTTTTAATTGTAAGACCTAGAAGCCCTAATTATGGATTGGGATCCCATTGTGCTAGGTGCTGTACAAATACAGAGCAAAAAGACTGTCCCTGCCCCAGAAACCTTATAATCTAATTTATAAGACAAGAGACAACAGATAGATACAGACAGACAGGTTCATAATTCTACTTGTTATCTAGTGCTTTAGAATTTTTTTAATTCATATTTTCTTTTTACCTCTGGAAGAAGCAAAACTGTCAGAAGCCCATTTTTTTCCTTTTGTAGGTTACTTCTAATTGTGGTTTTTTTTTTAATGGACTGTTTAAAACACCTTGGCTTTTCTTTGTTTTGTTAACATTTGTAACTCAAACACCTGAGCAAACAGTTGGAAGAAAAGCTGTTGTTTGATGCAGCGCCCCAGGTCCTATAATTAAGTCCTCAGCTATTTCTGCATCCTTCTAGGAGACCTCCAGCTCAACGTTCCAGATATTTCGGAGGTAAAAAACAGAAACAGAAGTTACATACCTATACAATTTTCAGTGAAGTCAGAGTTATGTAATTCATGCATGTATTAAGAAGTTAATGGCCTGATTTTTAAAGATCTCTCACACACTCTAACATGTCTCAGTGACCTTGACCTTTCCACACATCAGTACAGACTGCAGGAGGGAAACAGGGCAGCCACAGGAGAAAAGTAGAGTGAGGTGCTGCTCAACCATTCTAGCAGAGTAAAGAAAGACACACAGTAAGTTAGGCTTTGGGTTCATCCTAGGGGAAAACCTCAACCACTGAAGATTTTTTCTCTCTGTTCAATACTTTATCTTGTATTGAGTTAAACAGGTGCTGATAAACAAAAAGCGTAGAGGTTTTAGACACTGAATAATAATAATAATAATAAAACAAACCCCACGACCTCTCTCAATCAGGTTTATTGTCCATTTTATCTGACAGCTGTCTGTCAATCCACAAACTAGCCAGCGGGTGGAGCCATCTGCCTGAGCCATAGGGTGGGTACCACCCTTTCGAGTGCCCAGTTAAATGATTAAGAGGATTCCCATCTTTGTCACTCTTTCCTCCTAACATGAAGGACCCACAAAGTCTCCTTGCCATATCCCACTCCAAAGCCATATCCCAGGGGCAGGGCAAGGGATGCCTCCATGATATGTGGTTGCAGGAGTGCAGGGTGGGTGAGATCCTGGGCTTGGGAGAGTCACACTTATTTCAAATGGTCTCTCTCAGGGGCGGGGGTCCCCTCTGGCAGAGCCCTCGCTCCCGCAGCAGCGAAACTACAAGTCCCAGCATGCTCTCCGAGGGGAGGTGCTCCACTAAAACAATTCCGGGTGGGGCTGAGGGGCGGGAGCAGCCGGTTCCGCCCTTTCCCGGCGGCTCCTCCTCCTCCGTCGCAGCAGGGCCGGAGAGGCGTCGGGAGCGAGAGACGTTGTCCAGCGGTGAGCGAGTCCGGGGGGGGTGTGTGTGTGTGAGAGCCCCGCTTCCCCCCGGGGAGAGGCTATTGGGGGGCCCCGGGGAGCTGTTCGTTCTCTGCCTGCGTCGCAGCTGCCCTGCTTTCACTTTCGTTTCCCTGCGCGCAGAGCAAGTGGGGCTGGAGGGGAGGGCCCCACTCGGGGGGCCTCCCCCGAGGCCTGGCTGGAGGAGGTGGGGGGCCACTTCTCTCCTCCACCATCAGCTGACGGGGGGAGGGGGGGCAATGCCCCACATGGCCTGGCACTGGGGATGACCCCCCCCCTCGTAGGATCGCCACAAAGTGTCACCTTGGGGCACAATGGTGGGGTTTGCCCCCCCCCAAATCCCCTCCGCCTTCCTCCCCCTGCACCCCCTTGCCCCTACTTCTTCCCATCCCCCAAGGCCCCTTTGTACGTGGCCTGTGGCCAGTAAGGGGAGGTGGGCAGCACAATCCCCCACGCCTTGCCCCCCCCCATGCCCAAAGTGGAAAGTGGCAGGTCTTTATGCTTTCTGTGGGTCAGATGTCTCTCCCTCCCCAAGGATCCTTTGGAGCCTGGACTTTGGCCACAGCATCCTCCGTGGGCCAATAGCGCCAACCTTTTTGAATGGCCTGCCCCCACCCTGAGATTTTCTGGGGCTGTTCCCCTCCCCACCCCCCACTTCCTCAATAATCTCTCGAGGGTCCCCATTTGAAGTGTTGCAATCTGTGCCATGTGACGCCAACATGACAATGCACGGCGGCAAAGGGATGATGTGTCACTAGTCACCGGGTCCATGTAGGGTCATGATGCCTGAGTTGGTAAGGAGGCAACTCTGCATGTGCCCCACGTGACTCGACACGAGTTTGGGTGGAAGGGAGCTATGTTACAGTATTGGGGAACAAGAGTGTGTGAAAGGGATATATGAAATAAAGGGCTATATAGATAAGGTAACATGGGAGCAGTCTGTTACCTTTATTGGTGGTTCTAAACTATTAAGGAAATAAACTTTAACACCGATAAAAGGAAGTACGGTTTTTTTAACACACACATAATTGGCCTGTGGAACTCACTGCCACAATATACAATTGAGGTCAAGAGCTCAGCAGGCTTCACAAGATGATTATCCATTTATATGAATAATGAGAACGTCCACTGTAACATTGGGTAGGAAAAAAAGTGTAAGGGATATAATCCCTTTGCCTTATTAGGGCGAAACTTCCCAAATGGCAGTTTATTTCATAACTGCCCTAAGCAGTGTTTCGTGATCGTTTGTGTGAAGCATCTGCTACTGGCCACCGTCGGACGCTAGATGGACCGTTGGTCGGCTCTGATATGGCAATTTCTATGAGTGATGAAGAGGGAGGTCAGCATTGGAAACCTAGCAGAAAGAAGTGGGTCTTGGGACGTTGCAGGGCACCCAGGATCAGGGAGGATGTTCTACTCATGGGTTGATGTGGAAAAGACATGGAGCTGCTTATGGGAAAAGGAGACTAGAGGTGTGTCAATGCATGTTGTGTTGGCAGAGTGGAGTGTTCACTGGGTCCAGTTACTCATTTCTGTACAGTCTCTCCCCCTTAATATACAGATGGCACATTGGGGCTGAGCTAGGCCAAACCTAGCCGTTCTCTGTTGCGGCAGTACCCATAAGGGCAATAGCTTCAGGGGGTGCCGCTGAATAGAGGAGACACATTCTGCCCCCCTCTGTCCTTGCATTGGCATATATTTGGCTGCATGAGCAGGGGAGTAGTGAAAGGTGTGGGGGTGAATTATACGTGGGATAGAACTATGAATAGCTTTCATGGTGAGAATGAGGGGGTTGAGCATGATGCTGAAGGAAACTGCAAGCCAGAGAGGGAGTCAAGTGGAAGAAAAGGGGATGACGTCGTAAGAACAGCAAACAAGGAAGTAAAACATAGAAACTGTCCCTCCATTGTAGTGGTAAGGCTGATACTCCAGACTTGCGGGATAGTCAATTATTTTTTGTCAAGGTCCAAATTTCTTTGTCAAGGTCCAGACTCCAGAGAAAATTATAAAAGAAATGACAAGTAAATAAAAAGATTTTGGGGTCTGTTCAAAAGCGTCTGGCAGTCTGGATTTGGCCCATGGTCCGCCTATTGACCATCCCTGCTCCAGAGTGACAAGAGTTGTTGCTAGCTTTGCTGGCAGAGGGTTTGTTGTGCTTGAACTTACTGCTTCTCTCCATCCAGTGATTCATCTGACTAGGCTCCTTTAGGACTACAGTAATCCTTGAAAATAAGTGGCGGATCATCTGTCAGAGAAGAGGGGAGGGAGAAAGGGGCTGATGTATCTGAATGATGGCGTTGGAGCAAGAGAATAGAGTTAGAGTTCCTGCTCACATGAAGGTCATCATGATTGTACTTACGCAGCTTCTTTCATTCAGGGATCTCAAAGGGCTTTGCAAAGCATTTGATCATCAGAGGGGATAGGAGGGTTGCGTTGGGCACTGAATTCGTGGACTGGATGATTCTTGCTGTTTTTTTCCCCTTTCTCCTGGATCTGGGCTCCCTGATCGAGGGCCTGGCATATTTATTCATTGGTGACGCAGTGGACCAATTGGTTTAACTTGTTCAGCAATCACCCATGCTAGGTGTAGGGATTTCTTGAAGGGTTCAGTTCTGGGCCTTGTGGAAACAATCTATCTGCCGCTGTCTAGATACTTGTGATCGCCCTTTATAAGTTTGGATTGATTTCTTCTTGCAGCAGGGAACTGAGCCATAGAGGGATTGAGTGACGTGCCCAAAGTCATACAAGAAGTCTATGGCAGAATCAGAAATTGAATCCCAATCTCCTGAGTATCTTGTTTTAGCCACAAGACCAACCTGCCCCCTCTTTTTCTTGAATCCAGTTATTTATTATCTAGCTGGTACCTGAGGGCTATATGAATATTTTGGAGAGACTCAAACTCTTCTCAAATAACTTTAGTTAACACCTGTGAGGTGCGAGTGCAGGTCTAATCTTTCTAATCATGGCAGTTCAATGACCTCGTCTTGCCTGGTAAGAAGAATTCAGGGTTTCATATAGTTCTAGGAACCAGTGTTCATACACAAGCCTATCTTAGGATCTCTGGTGCTTGTATGATAGAATTGAAAATGGCCTCTTCCTAAAGGAAAAAAAAACCAGTCCCTCAGAGATGGACTGTAAAAAAGGGAAATCTTTAATTGGTTATTTATTCCTCCCCCGCTGGGTGCATGGTGTAATAATATCTCATTAGTTCATTGCACAGGCTGTGTTACAGCGAGTTACGCATTAGCATTCCATAAGGTGTGGCTGTCACTGGCCCTTTCATAAGGAGCAGACCCAGATTGCTCATTTTTTCTTCCCTCGTCTCCCTCTGCTGATGGTTGATGAACAGCTGAAGGAATGAGTGGCAGGATTTGGACATCATTACATTGTCACCTCATCCTTTTTTCCTTTCTTTCATGCTCTTATAATTTCCTCCCTCCCCTATGTCTATTTTCCTCCTCTCTCTCTTTTTTCTCCTTAATTCATTATTGTTCTATTGATTGAAATGAGTCGACAAACAGTGGTGCATCAGTGAAGCACCTGAACAACGCATGCAGACAGCTGGCAGGCTTAGAAGTTAGAACAGGAGGGAACTGGGATTCAGCCCTCTTCCAAATTCTGTCGCCGACTTGCTGTTTGATCTTGGGCAAGTCACTTAAACGCTCTGTGTCTCAGTTTGCCCCGTCTGTTCCATCTAGAGCTGCCCCACGAGGCCACCGGGAAGTACTGGCTGGCACAGAATGCACCTGGCCGCCTTCTAAGTGATCACAGAAAACTAGTGTTCTGATCTAAGGTCACTTCCACATGGAACTCCTGGTGCCGGTGATGACACAGACTGTGATAACACAGTCCCAGACCTTCTGGGGATTTTATCTGAGGTCATCTCTTACCCTATATACACTATAGCTGCAGTTAAGATCAGCTGGGCGGCTCCTGCTTTCTATTCCTGGAATTGGGTTGTCCTGGACTTGCAGCAGGATTTTCTTGGCAAGAAATGTCTCCCCTTGGCAATCTGCCAGACTCGGAGGCTGGCTGCCTCTAGTGCGTGATGGTAAGGCGTATGTTTAGTTTTCTGAGCGTTTCCTGCCTCTGTTCTTGGTAGTTTCGATTTTATTAACGGTTGCGGGGTCAGTAGTTTTGTACTGTCTCTTGCAGGTCACCTTGTGTAATTTATTTTTTGAACTTGTAACAGCACAATTAAAAGGTTCCTAAATAAAGAAACAGGTGAGAGTTCTTATCCTATTGATTGATGCTGCTGCTATGCAACATGTGTGTTTTAATACTGAGAACCATGTGGCAATTTTACTATAGTGGTTGCTAGTAGCAAATGCTGTATCCTTAGGGTTCGGACCCTTAAGAGCGAACTACTGCCACTTAGGGAGCAAGGATCATGTTGCCTGGGAGGAGTGCACAATGAGTAGGTTTGGAACCATTAGATTTCTATTGGTAAATGTCGGCAAATGTCGATTTCACTGTACACAGGCACACAAACCCACCAAAAATATTTCCATCAACAATATTTGAAATTTACAAATAGGCAAAGCAGGAAAAATGTTTCTTGTGAACTTCTTGCAGTTTGAGTTAAGGATATTTGTTTTGTATATTTTGATATGTGATGCTGACAGTTTTTTTTTTTAAACGGTTATAAAGCTTTAACTTTTTGAATCTCGATGTCTCCTGTTGTTTAAACAGTTATTGGCTGACCTGCCCATAACTTCCTGCAACTGTGAAAATTTAGATAGATGATAATAAAAAAGGCTTAAAAATAAACCGATATTATCTGTTAAACTTAAAAATAAATAAAAATTGATTTCTGCCAAGCCTAACAATGAGGTATCAGTCTCCCTTTTGAACCACAAAGATGAGGATGACACAAAATGTGTTAGATTTGGATGCTAAAGCGTTACAGTGGAATTGCTAATGAAAAAATAGGAAGGCTGTTGGATTTGCTTCTTCTTGGCAAGAGTGCGTGTCTTGCATTTCTCATGCTGACCGGCCTTGGGTGCTAAGAATGCTCTGGATGAGGTCCCAGGATTCTCGTGTGTCCCAGCACCACAGGCTGCAAGGTTTTGTCTTACCCTTCGCTTTTGTTCTTGTCCTCTCATAGAACCCCGTCATGGACGAGACCTTAGATGAACCTCCCACTTCTGCTGTCTTCTTGGACAACTGCCACTTCTCCCAGGTTATCTTTAATAACGTGGAGAAGTTTTACGTCCCCGGAGGAGACATAACCTGCTTTTATACCCTCACGCAACACATCACGCCTCGCAGAAAGGACTGGGTGGGCATTTTCCGGGTAAGCGTGTGCTCCGAACCATTAGCCACCATGTATTGTAAGGTGGCCGCTCACAAAAGGAATGGCTTGATGTGGACATTTCCAGTTATTTCACGCTTGATCCCTAAGCGGGAGTTTGAGACTTTGGAAGAACAGAGTAGCAGCTCTTTTTCAGGGGCTAACTTGTATATTGTAGTGCCTGTACTGCATCAAGAGACGTAGGACCTGAATCTTTGCTGCGCCGTTCTTGCACTTGGGAGCAGGAACGGAGTAGGGGAGGTTAACGTAACATTGAGCCACCGTTGCACTTCCTGTATTCTGGGACTGCTGAGGGGCCAGCCTGAAATTAGAGCTGTTTCAGGGCTAATCTGACTTGTGCCCTGTTTCCTAGGGCCAGTGAGGAATAGGCGTGGTGTAGTGCATTGTGCCCACATCTGCCCTCAACGCTCTTCCTTCTCCAGAGCGCCTCTCATTCCACACCTCTCCCTTCCCTCTTGCTCCAAGGAAGGAGTAAGCAGGCAAATAGCCCTGATTATTCCTATTTGCATGGACCCAAGATCTGGGTAGCTGGTATAGGAGTGTAAAGGGGGTTCTGACGGCTTAGTGTGGGCATTCAGCCCACGTTACAATATCGCCCTGTGAACGGCCACAGGATAAACGTAAGTAAGCTGTATGATACTGTATGATTATCTTGCTGTTGCAGGTGGGATGGAAAACAACCCGCGAATATTACACCTTCATGTGGGCTCCTTTCCCGAGTGACCTCAGCGGTGATTCTATCGTGCAGCAGCAAATTCAGTTTCGAGGTCAGTTGGGAAGGGATGGGCAGCTCACAGTGTACACACACACGCACCATCGTGTACCAAATTGCACTAAACGCCAGTAATAAGTGTTACCACCTGAAGCTGTACAACTGTTGAATAGGAATATTGTCCCGTACTTGGGTAAACTTCATTCAAGGAGCTGTGGCTATAAGGTCATCTCAAAATAATAGTCCCCAAGTTTCTCTCAAAGGGTCCCTCCCCCCCCGAATGTACTCTCAGTCAAGTTTAGCTTGGTGAGAGTGTCCCCTCCTGCTAACACGGAGACACATCCATATGGCACATGCGGTCCTGCGGCCTCTTCTTCCGCTGTTATCAGTGTAGCAAAAGCCCCTGGTGAGAATCTCCCTTGCAGGTACTGCGTTGAGCTGTGTTTGACCATCCGTGTTCTTTTGGTGAACGGGAGTCACTGACCTGCTCCTTGAGGAGTCATTTACATCAGTGCAAAGTGTCAAAAGTGTTTTACGCTCACTTTGCACTGCTATAGATGAAGGCACAAGGAGTGGGTCAGTGATTACCTGGCCCCATAATGTGGATGTTGCTCTGTATTCCGTGGTCTTGGGTCTGTTAGATCTGGGCTTTCTGGGCTGTACAGTTGACAAGAGGTCTGAGTAATTAAAAACACCCTATGGTGGGGATTTTTGTTTGTTTTAAGCCTACTACCTGCCAAAAGATGACGAATATTACCAGTTCTGTTATGTTGACGAGGAGGGGGTGGTCCGTGGAGCCAGCGTACCTTTCCAGTTCCGGGCAGAGACCGAGGATGATATCCTGGTGGTTACTACACAGGTATGTTCCCTCTCTCTTCCTGCTTTCTCATGCCCCTATCTTTTGTTCAAACTCCCTTTACCTAACACAACATGGTCCAGTGACTACGGCACTGAACTGGGGCTCACATTTGTTGAGCGCACCAGTGTGCTGCGTGTTAACTTCCCTCATGCGAGCCTGGCTGGTGTGCACTAAATGTTCTGTAGTGCACGTTGATGTAGTCCGGTTTCTCATCAATGCATGCTAGCAGGGTCTACGTGTGGGAGTCAGAGCACAACACACAAAGTCGCAAGACCTCCTAGTCAGTCTCCTCCTGGCGCTGGCGAAGGTGGCCGTCCACTGTACCAGGAGGAGGAAGTTGGACAGGGAGGTGTTCTGTGACTGGGGGGGCCTATTTCTGATCCTCCTTTAAGTCACGTCTCTGGGCAGCGTTCCTCTGGGCTGCGTCCACTGGCTCCCTGGAGCCTTCAAGGGGCAGTGGGTGCTATCCGGGGTTCTCTGCTCAGTGTCCCCCTCTGGATCCCTGCTTTTGACCATGTGACCCTCACTCTGGTCTGGTTTTTCATTTGTTGTCTCCCATAATCTCTTGACATCTGGGTCCAGTGGCTCCTTCTCTTAGGCTGGGGGAGGTGGGGGTTAAAGGTCTCCAAGAGCCTCAGTAGATGCTGCTCCCTGCAACCCCAGAAGTTGGAACTGGACCATTCCTGTATTAACAGGGTGGGGGTGGAAGCACAGCTGTAGCAGCAGGTCATGCTGTGCCAGGAAATGATCAAGGGTGCATTTGGGTAGCCAGCAGGTGCCTGTTTGTATCGAGGACTCAGGTGGCCGCCTGAAGTTAATGGTTGTGCAGAGCCGTCAGTTCATGGGCCTAATCCTACAAGAGGCAGAAGACCCTCTGCTCCCACTGCCCTCTGGGGGAATTAAAGGCATTGAGCTCCTTAGAGTTTCAGGCCTCGTGTGTGCAGTATTTTGGAGCCTGATTTTGAGCTCTGGTTGGACAAGCTCTGGCAGCACCGGGCGAGACTGAAAGGGAAGTCCAGTCTCCCTGGTGTCGGTGAAGAGGTAGGGAAGACTACACTGTGGTTTTCTGCCGGGCTCACGTTCCTTTACTCATCACTACACTGCATTCTTATTGAACAAGTCTGTGTTGTTTGCCAGGGAGAAGTGGAGGAGATTGAGCAACAAAACAAGGATTTAGTTAAAGAAAACAAGGAACTGAAGGAAAGCTGCCTGTGTCTCCAGAAACAGAACCTGGGTCTGCAGGAGGAGCTCCGGCTGGCACAGGTACAGACAAGGGATAATACTGTAATTCAGAGGCCTTCTGGCTGACAGCTCAGGCTTATACATGCCCATTATGTGCTTCCAGGAGAAGATGAAGGAGCTAGAGGGAGAAGTCTGTTTCTTGCAGACTGGGAACTTGGAGCTGCGGAGAGCTCAGGAGCTACAGGCCGTAGAGATGAGCTCTGCCCAGATGAATTTGGCTTCAATTAGGGAACAGAACATAAAACTTGGAAAGGAAAATCAGGTGAAAGTCCCGATGAACTGGAAACTGGGATGACATGGAGGAGGGAAAAAGGGGAGACCAGAGAAAGTGGAGAGGGGAGAATAAGACGGAGTCAAGGTCTTAGTCTCAGCGAAATGTGAGCAACTGTATCTCCCATTGTAACCAACAGGGGGTTGGTAAATGCTTCTCAGGGTTAGTCCCAAAGGGCAAAGAGAAGAGAAAATCTCCCCCTCACCTCTTTTCCTCCCCTCCATCCCCTGTGGAACAGTCTTGCTGCAGTGTAGAGATGCAGACTCACCCCTGCGGCGCCTCCTGCTGGTGACTTCCAGGAATTAGCTTGTTCCAGCTCCAGAGCGCCCTCTGCAGGCCAGTGATCCACCTGTCCTCTGGCCCCTCCCTGGACCCTGGTGCCCTTGTACCTGGGGTACTGCCCCCTAGCAGTAACCCCTCAGTCTTAGGGTCTCCCTGGGAAACCCCCACCCACTATTCCCACCTCACCTCAGTATAAGGCTACTGCCAGTCATCGTCTAGCCCCATGCACTGGGGCAGACTGCAGTATCAGCCTACTCATCACTGGCAAGGTTGGGTTTGGACCTGCTGCCTTGGCCTACCCTGGGCTGCCCTCTGCAACCCCCAGTACCCCTTGGCCTTCTGCTAGGCCGCAGCCTGGGGCTTTCCAGGCTGGAGCTCCCCAGCCCTGCTCCACTCAGGTACTCTGTCCCTAGCTCCCTGCAGCCAGGCCCTTCTCTATCTGAATGCAGAGAGAGACCTCTGAGCTCCTGGCTTCCAGCCTTTTTATATAGGCCAGCTGTGGCCTGATTGGGGCGTGGCCCAGCTGCGGCTGCTTCCCAGTCAGCCCAGCTTAGCAGCTCCCAGCCACAACCTTCCCCCAGGGCTGTTTTAAGCCCTTCAGGGCAGGAGCAGGGTAACCACCCTGCTACATGCAGCCCCAGCGCCTTGCACTTGGGAATGGAACTGACAAGCTTCTTTCTGCAATTAGACAGGTTCTGAATGGAACCGGGCTCCTGGGCCCTGCAAAATTGGTAACCCTGGGCCTTCCCAATTTGGGGGGAACAGAGAATCTCCACTTCCATTTAAAAAGCAAAACAAAAAGAGTTTCAAGGCCCTTTCCTGACAAAAAGCCTTGAAAATACAAACCAATCGCTTGGGTGGAAAGGACCGAGCAGCTGGGCTTCACTTCTGTAGCAGGAGCCTGGTGAGGTCCAACGATTTGGCTAGAGAGAGAGATCTGACAGACCTCTCGTGTGCAAAGAGCCAGTTGTGCGTGTATCTCCAAAAAACGATCTCTCCAACCCGCTCCCAAATCCCGAGGCTGACCCAGTGCAGAGCGGAGTGGTAATGATGGACTGCAGTTGGTTACGTTTGGGGAAGGGGAAAGGCTCAAAAATGATTTCATAGGCCTGTCCCAAAACCCCAAAGACCAGCTCTGGATCTGACCTGCCTATTACTGCTCCTTCCTCCTCCTCCTTTGTCCAAGGCCCCAATTGAAGCAAAACTGGAGCTGAATATATCAGAGAAAAGAGAAAGGAGAGAGAAAATCTTGTTCCCTTCAGGAGGGTTGTCTGGGATTGTTGCATTCAAAGATACAGTGGGGAGCAAAAATGATGGCTGTTTCTGGGATTTGACTCCCGTTTACCTTCCTGCACTCAGGAGCTGCAGAAAGGACTGGAGTCTCTGAGGAGCAGCTGTGAGAAATTGGAGCTGGAAGGAAATTTCCTGAAAGAGGAGAACAAGCGGCTGACGGAGCAGAATGGCTGCAGAGAGAGAGAGCTGCAGCAGTGAGTGGTTTACACCATCCGTTCGCAAATGGGAGTTCCTGGAAGCGCAGTGGGTTGGGTTTCCTCTTCTGTTTCGTGCTGATGAAAGCCAGTGACTGTATGCACAGAATGAACCCTGCGAGTGAGAGTATAAGGAGCCCCGTGGGGTTTTGATCTGGGTTTGGCATTCACAGGCCCTCAGGCAAACATAAGTGTGAGGGTGACTGAGCAAAACTGACTCTTGGCACGAGTCCATGGATTATAGGCTCTCAGCTGTCTGCGTCGGTTGAGGGGAAAGCAACCCACAGGGCTGTGGAACAGATCCAGGATTCACAGGATCTCTGGTAACTTCATGCAAAGGTTTGAGCAGTGCTTTGGTATCTAGGGTTCCTCCATTTGAACCTGCCTGAGGACAAGATAAGCTTTTGATTAGGTTGAGAAATGAAGGCTGCGGGTGTGGTTTACCAAGAGCTGGTGCTGAGGTGTAATGGGGGGGGGGGGGCACATGCAGCTGAAAATGTTACAATTTGGTTTCCTCTGAGCAGATTCAAAGAACACAACCAAGAAGTGTCATCTGAAAAGGAACAGCTAGAAAGCAGATTGAAAACTACCCTGGATCACATGGACCAGCTGCAGGTAGGCAAGGCGCAGTCTGTCTCTGCTTCTGCAATTTGTGCAGTACTCTGTGTGTGTCTGACTGGGAATGGAGCTGCCTATAGCAAATTAGGATGGTATCTGAGTTGTTCCTAGTGATTCCATGGGCTCCTTAGGAAAATGTGAACCTACAACATGACAACCTGAGCTCCAGGAAGCTCCTAACAAGTGCTGTATTTGGGAAGGAGGAAGCGTTAGCAAATCCTTGCAGATTTTTCATCTCATCCCCCAAAACACCTACCCTCCGTACCCATGTTAGGTTCATCATAAAGACTTTGTACTCCTCTAGCTCCTCCTATCTGAGGATCTCAAAGGGATTTCTGAATGTGGAAGGGTTTATTCTCACAAGAGCCCTATGAGGTAGGTAAGTGGTAAGGCTGGCCGGAAAACAACAACTCCATTTCATGAAACAGAGAGGTTTCAAAAAATTTGTTATCCTGCATCAGAAGGAAAAGGAGAGAGACTCTGTATTCTGGTACACCTCTACCCCGATATAACGCTGTCCTCGGGAGCCAAAAAATCTTACCGCGTTATAGGTGAAACCGCGTTATATCGAACTTGCTTTGATCCGCCGGAGTGTGCAGCCCCACCCCACCGGAGCACTGCTTTACCGCGTTATATCCAAATTCATGTTATATCGGGTCGCGTTATATCGGGGTAGAGGTGTAGTTAGGCTGGGGACCTGGGAGACCCGGGACAGTGTCTGAACTACTGGATTATGGAGCCTGTACTCACCAGGCTACATAGCTTTCCCATCCTCCCGACCAGAAATGCCATCCTGGTCCCAACGAACCTTTCCAACAAAAATGTTATCAAATCCGATATGATTCCTCTGAAACATCCCAATTTCACTAAAATGGCATTTGATGGAAAACAGTTGCATCAAAAAAAAATGAACCGGCTCTAACATTACTAGCCCTATTTTACAAAGGGGGAAACAGAGATGGAGTGACTTGACTAAGGCCATGCACAGAATCGATGGCAGAGCCAGGAATAGAACCGAGCTCTCTTGTCTCCCAGCCAAAGGATCATCTTTCTTGTCTCCAGATTGGTGCTTGTCCAAAAGTTTCATTGGGTTCCAAAAATATTTCACTGGAATTGGTTTCCAGACATTTGTTCCACAACTGAATCAGGTCAACATTTCAGGTTATTTACCACTAGTGTGCAGTTATGTAAATCACCCCCAAAAGCCATGTGAATGGGCAGGGTTTGGAATTAGGATCTATGGCTTAGTAAGACTTTGCCAGGCTACTTTCATTCTGGACATTCCTGCTGCATTATAAATTGCCTGTGCTTCCTTCTGTCCTATATAAATTGTTGGGCCATCGCTTTCATCCACTCTTGTTTCACCTCAGTCACAGGTGTTGAATCAAGAGAAGGAAATGGAAAACCTGCTTCGGATGGACCATGACAAGACTGAGCAGCTGGAGCATTTGAAGGAGGAGAATCGTCAGTTACGCATTACTTTGACTGAACAGGTAGAGCCTTCCCTAATAACGTTGAGGCTTGAGGGAGCTGGGGTGGAGGGATATAGAGCAGCCCATAGCGGTGAGCAGATGGAGGTGATCTTATGGAAGCTCAAGGGGAATTAGGTGATGGAGGGGAAGGGATTGCCCCTGTTATAGCAGGTGGTGCTGTTACATGGTTTTCTCTTCCAGGTGCTCTTTTTTTAGTGTGCAAACCAGTTTTTCGTCGTGGGGGGCGGAAAACACTTGTTGTTGTGATTCAGTTCCTTTAGAAGAGCTGTTTCAAGCAGCAAGAGAATTTGCTCCCTGCCTTAATCTCTAACTAGTGTCAATTCTTCGGTCAGATTTGCTCCCTGGGAGCCAGGGATTTGTGTTTGGCTGAGATTTCTCAAAAAGAGAGGATTGCCTGTGTTCTGTTTGTGACCACCCGTGTCCCAGGACTGGTGTATACATGTAATAAAACAAGGTATACGAGGAATATACCCAGACTCTGCATCGCTGATTTCTGCTCCAGTGGGAAGCTGGCTTACAAAGCCCTGTACATCCGCTACTGCTTGATGGAGGGACAACACCACCCTTAACTCTTCTCTGTTGTTCCTTACTCATCTGTAGTATCTTAGTTTAGCAAAACCATTTAATAGAAGTGACTACAAACAAATGCACTTGGAGCAGAGAGGGTCTAAATTACAGAAGAAAGCCAGAAACAGTGGGAAGCATCCGTTTTCGGTGGGGGATGAGTTGATTGGCTGTGTGCGTGCCCCATTTCCTTCTCCAACCTCCCTTCTCTTTGGCGTTCCTTTTGTTATTTATATGCGGCTCCCCCTCACTGATGCATATGGTGCTGAAATTTGTGGTCCTGTGCAGAAAGAGCAGGAAGAGAAGCTGGAACAGTGTCTGGAGGATCTGAAGGTTACAGAGGCCAGCATGGCTCTTCATCTGCAACATAAGCAGGTGTCATGTCTTTCTTTGGATGGATGTGGGGGATGGTCTCCAAAGAGCAGAGTGAAAAGTGAAGGGATGAAATCTATGGTTGTACAGAGGACAGGGTGTTGCTGGGATTCAGGGAGGGCCAGTATTTCACTGAAAGGAATGTAAAGTCAATGGGAATACAGCAGAATGGAACATTGCATCACTTTTTTATCATGAAGGGAATATAACTGGCAGGTTAGAGAAGTCACGTCAAAGAAACAGGCCTTTCGCTTAGAGAGGAAGGGGGCGAAGTTTGCGATGGTCCTTAGTCCTGGGGGAGTTTGCTCCACAAGCTCCGACGAGCCCTGACAAAGCTCTTGTTCCTGCACACACAAACTGTTACTCTTGCTGTAGAAACTTCCATTGTGCCTGAGGAGCAAAGTTGTTGACCGTGATCTTGAGCTTGGAGCTTGAGGCAATCTTTTAGATACCCATGGCTCAGGTCATTGAGCACCCTGAAGATGAGAACCAAGACCTCAGACTTGCTTTGCTATTCTATGGGAAGCCAGTGTAGGGAGCTGAGGGCAGGTTTCATGTGTTCCCAGTAGACTTGCCGGATGTATTCCTGGAGGTTTCATCACATGACATAATCTTTGATTAAAGATTAATCTTTAATTCCTGGAGATTCCAGGACAATCCTGGAAGGCTGGCAATCTTAGTTCACAGTAGCCAGTGTTGCTGAGGAGATGTGCTGTGGTGTTCTCTACTAGCTGAAGTTTCCTAAGTGCTGAAGGCTTCATGCCCAGGTGTGCTGCATTGAAGTAATCCAGCCTGAGCGGTAACAAAGACATGAATAGCCAAGGCCAGGTCACTGTGTGCCAAGATGATGGAGACTTCTAGACAACCAGAGAGGAGTCCTGGGCGCAGGCCAGCTGTGGAGTTTAATCGATAACCGAAACTGATAAGATTGATGCTTATCGGTTAAACTTTTACATCCCTGCTCACAGTATCACCATGTATGTAATGAGGGAAGTACAGGCCATGAGTGGTTTATTTTGGAAGCAGTGGTGACTTAAGTTGGTTAGATATGACATGGTCAGACTCTCGTTGAAGGTCAAGGTTGATTTATTGATGAAACGCACGCACGCATAAGAAACACATGATATCTGAGCAATTCCTGATGCTCTCACAGCTTTTCTTTTGGTGATTCCTCATCACTGACAAACCTAATGCTTTTGCTTAACAGCATCAAAACCACGATATAACAAAGGAACTCGAGGAGAAGAACCATTTGTTTCAGCTTCTTCAGCGGAAAAAGGATGAAATTGAGGAGAAAAATCTGGTGAGAAACTCACACCCGCACTACCAACCTCACAGCGCAGAGAGGTCTTCGTTAGCAGTGGTACTGAACACAGTTCAGAGTTAGGCAAGGTGGTTGGACGAAAAGCCGTAAGAGGTTTTGCTGAGACTTATTAAGGAGCTCATAATAATGAACCATTATTATGAAATAGAGAATCGTGAGAAAATAGTTAAAAAGAGCTGTCTGACAAGGAAATTGTGGAAGAAAGCTTTACTAAAATGCAATCAGATGACATGGTGGGTTTTTTTCAGATGCTCTCAGCACTGGCCTAACTGCTTCCATGGAATTCAGTGGTCCTACCCAGTATTTGAAAACAAACCACACAAAGTCTTTTCACTGAGTTATTAGCTAAAGAATAGCTCCCGGTTTCTGTTCAGAGCTTTGCCACTAACTGAATGACCTTAGGCTGGTCATAGATTTTAAGGGCAGAAGGGGTTATTTTGATCATCAGTATCCAGTTCTGGGCACCCCACTTTAAGAGAGATGTGGACAAATTGGCGAGAGTCCAGAGGAGAGCAACAAAAATGTTAAAAGGTTGAGAAAACCTAACCTATGAGGGAAAGGTTAAAAAAAAAAAAACCTGGTCATGTTTAGTCTTGAGAAAAGAAGTCTAAGGGGAGACCTGATAAGTCTTCAAATAGGTTAAGGACTGTTATAAAGTGGACAGTGATCAATTTTTCTCCAGGTCCACTGGCGGTAGGACAAGAAGTTAAGGGTTTAATCTGTATTATAAGGCTAATTAGGCTCTGAAATAGGCTTCCAAGCGAGGTTGTGGAATCCCCGTCATTGGAGGTTTTTAAGAACAGGTTGGACGGACACCAGTCAGGGATGGTCTAGGTTTACTTGGTCCTGCCACAGCTCAGGGGGCTGGACTTGATGACTTCTCAAGGTCCCTTCCAGCCCAAAATGTCTATGATTCGATGATCATCAGGTCTGACATCCTGTGTTACACAGGCCATCAAATAGGTATTTTCACCTCCCTTTGCCTGTTTCCCTCCCATCTGCAAAATGGGGATCAGCCTGGCCTACTGAAAGGGATTTGTGGAGTGCTTTGAGATTCTCGGGGGAGAGGAACTATATCCGCGCAAATGGTCATGACTAACAATAAATGGCTTCTCTCGGAAATGGCCCCCTGAGCTCCTGGAACTTCATTCTGCTCTTCTGTCCCTTTGCAGAGACTAAGGCAAGAGAACAACGAGCTGCTGATGCGCCTCTCTGAGAGCCCAGATTATTCTGCCCGGGTTGCTGTCCCGTCGGCGCAAGTTCCAACTCGGTCTCCAGAAAGTGCAGACCTTTTGTTTGGGAACCCGTACTATAGTGAGTTACTTGGCATTCTGTGCAGAGGCTCCCAGGGGCCACACGGGATGGGTCCGATCTAATTACATCCTGACTGCTTCCGAGCAGGAGAACCCTAATCAAGGAACTGGGCTAGAATCAGAAATGAATTAAGAATGAATAGAGTTGGGAGCTACCAAAATTCCAGCCCCCACCCTCCTGAAGATCCTTTCTTCAGTCCTCCTACCTGTTCTTGGCGAGTGAGAGACAGAAGGTGAAACTCTACTTCCTTCCCATAGCTCCTGAGAAGATGGAATCTGTCCATTCACTCTTTGTTGGCAGGAGGGACTTCCCCCTACACACGTGGTGGTTGGGGTCTCAGCAGGTTGTCATCCCTCTTGATTTGGAGGCTTGTAGAAAAGAAGCTCTCAACAGCATGTTTGTGCTGCCTCCCATGTGTTCAGAAGATGCCCTGGCAGCTCCAAAACTCTGTCAGGTCTGAGAGTTGACTTAAGTGATTAGCACTGTGCTCTCTTTCTGCCAGTTTGCCCAGTCACAAGGGAGCCAGTCCCATGGCCTCAGTTCAGCATTCCGGAGTCTTAAATATGGAGGTTCCTTCCAGATTCAGAGCTAGGTCTGGTGCTTCAAGAAGAATCAAGAATAACAGGTCAACACCACATCAAATGGTTTACTTTTGGCTATGGTTAAGACTTGCATTTTCTGTTCTTTTGCAGACTCCCTAGAAACAAGTGCTGTGAACATGGTGAGTAAAGTGGCTGGTGGATTTTGCTTAGTGGTATGAAGGCAGGAGTCTAATTGAGCTCCATGGCCAGTTTCCTCTATAAGCTTTTAGTCCTGGTCAAGGTAGTGGGTTCTACCTTCCCAGACAGCGGAATGGAGCCCTGGATATTTCAGAATAAGCTGGGGGAATTAATGATGATTGTGCTAAGCAGGAGCGAGGGACCTCTGCTAGAACTCAATTGCAGCCCTGGGCAACATCAGCATGGAAGCCGGAATGAGCAGAATTCAGCTGCCAGATGCTGTATTTCATAATGGAGAAATGGACACATACTGGGTAGGATAGAAAGCAAAAGCAGTTCTGAGAAGCTCTTCGGCTCACAGAGCCAGTCACTGAGGCATGGGGACATTTAAAACCTTGTGGAGTATTAGAACTTAGAGTGGCCTGTCTTGTAACTGATTATTTCTAACCTTCCTTCCTCCTTTTATTGCTAGTGCAGATATCTATACGTCATTGTTTTGTATTCACCTTTCAGCCCTCTGTGAAGAAATGCCCCCTGTGTCATGAGGTCTTTTCTGATGACATTGGGCCACGTCAGTACGAGGACCATGTGCGAAGCCACATTCTGGATTGCCCGTTCTGTGACGAGACCTTTGAGGATAAGCAGGTGTATGATGATCATGTGTACTGCCACAGCCTGGAATAATTCTTCATTCTGCTTTGTGCTGTATAGCAGGTGTATAGCTCCTCTTTCAGGTGTGATAGCACAGACTTGATCGTAACCAATACTGTAGGAATATAGATCCTAGACAAATCACCCCAGCAAGGCTGGACTCAGCACCAGTACTGTAGTGCCGACCCATCTGTTCCGTGTGATGTGACCCATCATCAAGTTGGGTCAGATACCAAGCAGTACTATTGAAATAATCCATCCTTGTCAGCTGTGTCCTTTATCTTCAGTCAAATATGGGCACTCTTAAACAGCTCAGTCCCTGTGGGCTGGTCTACACTGGGGGGGGGATCGATCTAAGCTATTCGCGTAGCTGAAGTCGAAGTATCTTAGTTCGACTTACCTGGCCGTCCTCATGGCGGCAAGTTGACCACCGCGGCTCCCCCGTCGACTCCGCTTACTCCTCCTGCCGAGGTGGAGTACAGGCGTCGATTTGGGGATTGATTTATCGCGATGAGACGCGATAAATCGATCCCCGATAGATCGATTACTACCCGCCGATCCAGCGGGTTAGTGTAGACATAGCCTGTAATCAGTTGTTCAGACCGAATGCAATACCAGTACTTCAGAACAAAGGCTGTCACTAAGATCTGTTGTTCCGATCTAACCAAGTACTAATATTGTAGAACAGCAGTTGCCTGCGTTTTGCAGAAACGTCTCTGTTACAATTGTTATATTCCTTAGAGCAGAGCTGAGACCACTAACCCTAAGGCCAAAAACAATGTATACTGCCCTTGAGCTCAAAGTCCCAATCTTATTAATGGTTACAGGACTGCAGATCTAACTTAATAATAAAATTGAGTCCTTCCTTCACCCTTTATCCCAAGCCAGTGAAAGCTTTACATATCTCAGGAATGAGTTTAACCATCTATGTGCATCCTCTAAGGAAATTGGTGGGGGGAGCCTGGATTGTTTCTCTGATTTGCTTGTCTGACGCTTCTTGATTCCAGGACAAAAGGAGCCTCTTCTGAGTGCAGAATGCTGGGCTTCAAACCTATCAAGTTCCTGGGATGATTGCACTGCTTTTGCACAAGTTTTAAATTCTTTTTGTTGCAATGTACAGCAAACATTCTTTCCTCTATGCAAACACAAGGGTAAAGTTTATTATCCAACAGAGTTACACTGTGCATTAATTTAGTGATGAATATCTAAATCTATAGGGAATCCTAATAGGTTTTCATAATAGCCTGGTTCAAATGAAGTTAAGAATAATGGATACTTTAAAACGTTGCTGTAATATCTTCAGTGCTAAAGGCTTAAATAAACTTGTATCGATCAACCTTTGATGAAAACTTTGGACTTCTGTCTTCAATTATGTAATAAGGCTTTTATTTTATTTTTTTAACTGTTAGCAGGCACTATACAAAACCATGTAACAGAGAAATGGAAAAGGTGAATAAACAATAGCAAACAGAAACTACACCAGGAGAAAATGTCTGGTTATTTTTGTAACAAATAAGACAGGTGGAGATTCTGCCATCCCATCCCGAGTGAAAGATGTCCTCCGGGAGCTGTCTTGCAGGCCCTTATTCCTTTCTAAGGCCCAAGTCCATTTATACACATCCCTGACTTTTAGCACATGAAGTACTCCACACTGAAGTCAACTGGATTGCTTGCACTTACTGTAAAACAAGGGGCTTGTCCTCACACAGACGAGCACCAAAATAACTAAATTGGTTGTAAGTCACACCTTGTGCTATTTCAGTGCAAATCTGTGCATGGACACTCTTCTATGACCCTTTTATTCCAAAGTAAGTGCCCCCCCGTGGACTTTTCCCATCCCCAAGGACTTTCCCAGACTCTTCACTCTGCCCCCAGCATTGCTACTGAATCCCCTTGACTCTACAGCCCTTATCACCATCCAGAATCCTTATTATTTATTTTCCGGTAACATCTAGGAACCCTAGTTGTGGACCAGGGCCCCACTGTGCTAGGTGCTGTACAAACACACATTATTTTCCCTGACATGTCCAGTCACCTTCCATGTTCCTCACACTCATCCCTTGCTGCCCAGTTTGCCTCCATGCTGGCATAAATAATCACCACCCCCAGAATTGGATAAGAGGAACATGGATTGGTTTCATACCCTGGGCATTTACTTAGTAAGATGGATCAGGACTGACACAATCATGTCACTTTGGACAATCACTTAACCTCACTGCCTCAGTTTCCCCATCTCTAGCATGGGGATACTGACACTTTCGTACCTATCACCCAAGACCATGTTGCATAGCTCTGAAGAGGGAGAGCATTGTATTTGTGCTCAGTATTATTATAAGGTCTGCAGGTTTGTTTGCCCTGTAGGTGGGACCATACAGCTATTTTCCTCACCTCAGCTTTGAGTTAATGAGTCACTGATGTTCAGAGGTTTGTTTGAAGTACAGGAGGAACAATTCAGTTTCATCGTCTAGTCCCCCTCCTTTTATTATCATTGGGTTTAAGTTTGACTTGAGGGTTTTTGTGGTGGTGACATCATGCAGTCCTCTGAAGACATTTGTCTATAATTAGGGCTTTGCATGATTTGCTACTTGTTGCCTCTCCTCATATGTTTAGACTGTAAATACTTTTAGGCAGGGATTGTCTTTTTTTAATTATGCGTGTCTGGTGTCTAGCACCCTTTTTCCCTGAGCCATTGACAGATGCCTGAGTTTCACTATCAAAGTTGGCCTTTATTTCAGTCATGGGTTTCCATGAGGTCTTCTGGGCCAGATCCTCAGCTCATGTAAATCAGTGTAGCTCCATTTACACCAGCTAAAGATCTGACCCTCTGTTTTTAACTTAATTGGCACAGAAGATCTCGGAAAAAGGAAAGATTCCTGTTATTAGCTGCCTCCTTAATATGGGATCCAAACAGAGCAGATTGAAAAAAGGAATTTTGATCCTGTGGGAAACTCAGTATTTTGAATTTTTTTTTCATCCTCAATTGGGACAAAAATTGCAGTAGTGACTCCTTGCCCAATGAAAAGTTTTGAAATTTTTGAGTTTGAAATGTCAACGTATTTCATTCTGATCTGATCAAAGTGAAATCTCAAGATTTCCCAAACGAAATGTTTCATTTCAATTTTCCCCAACTGAAAATGTCACCAAACTTGTTTTTTTCCCACAGAAAAGATCAACGAATCCCCATTTTCCAGTGAGAAACCATTTTTTCCCACCAGCCCTAGTACCAAGTTATTTTTTGCTTCCTAGGAAACCCTCCGTTTTTACAGACACATGGCTATGATACAGACAGATATAGATGTTATTAAAATCCTGATATCAGCACGTCCTCCTGTTAGACACAATTACCACACCTCTTTTCCCACCTACACTTAGGGTGACCAGATATCCTGATTTTATAGGGACAGTGCCGATTTTGGGGTCTTTTTCTTATATAGGCTCCTATTACTCCCCACCCCCTGTCCCGATTTTTTTTACATTTGCTGTCTGGTCACCCTACCTACACTGTGGTTAAAACCTGCTTTAGAATCCGAGTTCACAAACCCAAACCATGGTTATTTGAGGTTAGATCCATGGCAGGAGTCTGTCTTATGCCCTTTATGCTGTTGATGCCATGAGCTGTGCTCCTAGTTCGCCATTCCCTCCCTTTTACATTGGTTGCTGTCACCATCATCTTCCTTCTTGCATGCTCCTGTCGTTTCTGCAGGTCTCATCACCTAACAGCGCCTGTGCCATTCCAATAGCATGCAGAGACAGTGGATGCCCAGCAGGGGGGGATAGACGGCAGGAAGTCTCATGATGGAGCTAGTAGGACTTTTCTGCAGTAGTGGCACAGAGTCAGCCCCGCCCCTGTACAGAGCACAGTAAGGTGCAGCATGCATCTTCTCTATCCTGGGGTAATTTGGCCCCTGCACAGTTTAGGGTATCCATTTGCTGACCTGTAACGTACAGCCCCATTTATATCACCAGTGAATGGGGCCCAAGGAATCCTCTCTGATACACTGGTGTAAATTAAGAGTAACTCCACTGGCATATACAGTAACTCCTCGCTTAACATTGTAGTTATGTTCCTGAAAAATGCCACTTTAAGCAAAACGATGTTAAGCGAATCCAATATCCCCATAAAAATTAATGTAAATGGAGGGTAGGTTCCAGGGAAATTTTTTTCACCGGACAGAAAAAATTATATACAGCATAAGTTTTAAATAATTTTAAACAATTTAATACTGTACTCACCAACGATGATTGTGAAGCTTGGTTGAGGCAGGGGCGTAGCGGGGTTGGGGCACAGGGGCTTTCCCCACTCCGCCCACCTGGCGCTCCTGTTGGGGAGCAGGCTCGGGGGCTTCCCCGCTCCCTGGTTGGAATGCCAGGCAGGTAGAGTGGGGCAAGCCCTGACCCCCGGCTGGAACGCCCGGCGGGCGGAGCGGGATGAGCCAAACAACCTTATAACAGAACATTGCGCAACTTTAAACAAGTATGTTCTCTAATAGATCAGCAACCTAATAACAAAACAATGTTAACCGGGATGACTTTAAGTGAGGAATTACTGTATGTACTTTCTAATTTTGGAGGTGCTCCCTTATTACATTGATAGGTGTTGAGTAAGAGCCTACAGAGAGCAACTCCAAAAAGGCAGAGGAGGAGTTTTCTGCCTGTGGCAAAGTTTCCACCCCAACACGGCCTCTTAGCTGGGACTGTGGAAACTTTTGTCTCAGTTTCCCACACCGTCCCTAGGCCTGCTCCAGGCATAAGAATGTCCTAGCCCTCAGCCAGACTACTTTACAGAGTCCCTCACTAAAGTCCTAAAGGAATGTATACAACAACCAAATCTTCAGCCCAGCTGGGCTTAGCTAGTAGCCACCTCTCTACAGGTGCTGACATCACGCTACCATAATAGTTTCTTTCCTGTACCTGTGCAGAGTTCAGCAGGGTACTTTTATGTCCAACTTTGGTTATATCCTAGAAAGGGAAGGGTGTTTATTTGAAATTTGACTTGGAGTTTGCGGGTCAAATCCACAGTGGGTGTAAGTCTGGTCAGCTCTATTCATCTCAATTAATCTACATCAATGTACTGCAGCTGAGGA